CCTTTGATCTCCACCTTTTTTTTTTTTGTATTTGAATTTTTGTAATGATAAAAATAACTCCTATGTTCCTATCTTGGCTCATTTTTGATCAGGAAACGAGAAATCAGAACCTAAATTAGCATCTAGCTTGTTAATTTTTTAAACTTTTAATTATTTATTTTACATCCTGACTGTAGCCATCTCTCCTCCCACCCCGTCCCCTCCCCCTCCTAATGTACCCCTACTCTGTATCCACTCAGAAGGGGGCAGGCCTCGCATGGGTGTCAGCAAAGCATGGCATATCAAGCTGCAGCCTTCAGAGCAAGCACCTCTGCCTGTATTCAACTGGGGAAGGTAGTCCAGCATAGGGAATAGGTCCCTAAGAGGAAAGGAGCATATGCTTGTTTTGTGTTTTTATAAAAGAGCCTCACCCCCACCCCCCAAAAAAACTGCTTGATGTTTCTCTATTCTATTTGCATTTTAAACTATTACAGTAAGGTATGTTTATAGGACAAATGACAGAGAGATATATAAGAAAATGTTCTTTGATGAACTGAAATGACAAGATATAAATGGGACCATAAGAAACACGGAAGTAGGATGCTAAAGATACCTCACAAAGTCTAGCAACATCATCAGACCCTTTGGCTAGGGTGTAATTCAGTACCAGAGATGAACTAGAGCCAGGCCCTTGACGTCTGTGAAGACTGTTGAGGAAATGAGTGTGCGTTAAACCCTCTGTGGGATAGCCATTGCTTCTCCTCTCCAGTCCCTCCATTTTAAGCCAGTAGTCCTCTCTTCAACATTTATACAATATTTAAAGAAAGCATGTACCTAGGTCCCTATCTCAGAGATTCTGTTTCCTCAGAACAATGTTACTGATGTTGAACATCTGAGCTAAACATATCTGTAATAGTTTCATAAATTTTGATTTACACATATGAGACCATCATTTCAATCCAAACAACTAGAACAACCTAGAAGGTTCCTCTCTTGCCTTTTATAACTGTGCCATCTCACTACTCTAGCCCCTTCTCCAGACGACCACTGATATGATTTCTATCATGATGCAATGATTCCAGCGGAAAAAAAATAATGACATCTTGAAATTTGCAGGTAAATGGATAGATCTAGAAAACATCATATCGAGTGAGGTAACCCAAACCCAGAAAGACAATTATCATATGTACTCACTCATAAGTGGCTTTCAGACGTAAATCAAAGAAAAAACAGCCTACAATCATAATCCCAGAGAACCTAGACAACAAAGAGGACCCTAAGAGAGACATACATGAATCTAATCTACATGGGAAGAAGAAAAAGACAAGATCTCCTGAGTAAATTGGGAGCATAGGAAACTTGGGAGAGGGTAGAAGGGGAGGGGAGAAGGGAGGGGAGTGAAGAGAAAGATATAGTTCAATAAAAACAATTTTAAAAATCCATGTTTCCAAAACTTTCATGTAAATAAGATCAATAAATAACTTTAAATTTTTCTTCTATCAGTTATAATAATTTTGAGATTCAAACAGATTGCTGGATAAAAGTTCACTCAGTTTTGACTAGTATTTCATTATATAGATAAATGGCAAATTAATCATTCGTCTATTAATGGATATTTGAATTATTTCAAATATGGGACTATTATCAATCAGTCTTTCATGGACGTCCATGTAAAAGTTGCTATGTGGGACTAGTCCTGAATTTCTTTGGAAGAAATATGTAAAGTAGAATAACTAGGTCATATAAGTGCATACTGTTTTAGGAGATGGTCCAATGTTTTTAATATTGCTTATGCCATTTTATTCTCTTATCAGCAGCATGTAAGAATTACAGTTCCTCCACATCGTTATCAAATTTGATATCAGTCTTTTTAATAACAGACACACCCAAAGGCCTGTGATGGTGTCTCACAGCAGGTTTAGTCCACCTTTCCCCGTGGCCAGTGATATACAGGTTTTCACGAGTTGTGTGCTGTGCTCTGTCTTTCAATGTAATTTGTAATACTTTCTCTAGTATCCTGTTGGTTCTTCTAAAATGCTTTTCAAAGAAAGCCTTTACTTTTTTCAAATTTATTCACTGATTTGCATGAGTATGTAGGTGGGCACATTTACCACATCATGGATGTGAAGGCCAGGGAACCATTAGAGGAGTCCGTTCTCTAGCTCCACCGTGGGACCCTGGGGATTGAACCCAGGACCTCAGGTTCGGTGGCAAATGCCTTTAACTACTGAGCCATTTCCCTGGTCCAGTTTTAAAAGTGCTGATATTGTTTTGTTCTTAGATAAATGGTCCTTTCGGTGTCACATCTGAAGAAAAAAATCTTTGCCTAAGATGTATCCAAAGATGCAAAGATTTTTTTAAACATTTGTATTATCTTAGATATTATGTTTTTTTTGTATTTCTAGCCAGTTGGAAGATCAAAATTTGTGGAAATGACGACTCTTTCTTTATTAAATTGCCCTTGTATCCTCGTCAAATACCGCTTTTCACATTTCTGTGCTGAGTCCTGTGTGTTACTGGCGTACTCTTCTATTTTGAGAACAAAACCATACTGAATGTTTTCATTCACCGTAGTTTTACAGTGTCATGAAATGAGGTAGTGTTCATACTTAAATTATTTTTTTTTATTTCAGATGCCTATGTGATTAGATTCTTTGCATTTCCATGAATTATGAAACCTGTTTGCCAGTGTCACCAAAGGAGCTTGCTGGGATTTTTTTTTAATGAGCATTATATTTAACTTGCAAAACCAAAACAAGAACAAAAGCGGGAGAATTGATTCCTAACTGAGAAGCTCTGCTACAGACATGGCAATTCTCGCCCCTGCGTTGAGTTCTAATTTCTCCCAGCGATAGTTTTGCATCTTTCAATGTATAGTCATACACATATTTTATAAATTTTATCCCTAAGTATTCTGAACTCGTACTGGTGTATTTGTTTTGTTTCAAACAAATTGTCCCTCAGTGTGTGAAGAGCAACACCTATAACCGAGGCAGGGGATTGACTGATTTTCAGTGAGATCTGCTCACTGAGCCACATATGGAAAGACATTGAACAGTGGCTCTCCAGGGAATTTCAGATTACCTGGAGATGCCAGGTAGGAATATAATTGATTCTTACACGTTAATTTTCATTTCTAAAAAATTATATTTCGTTATGTGTGTGTGTATACACGTCACACACATATGCACACATGGCCACATGTGCCTGTGGATGCACATGGAGGCCAGACGTATTGGTTGTCAGCCACTCAATATGAGTGCTAGGAACTGAAGTTGGATCCTCTGCGAGAGCAGTCTGTGGTCTCAGCCACGGAGCCATCCATCTCGTTGGCCCCCTGTGTGTTAGTTCTCTAACCTTGCTGAACTCAGTCAATAGCTTTAGTGAGATTTCCATGAAGAGCTTTGTACACAGACGAGTGCACTGGTTTGTGCACAGGATTTTTACTCTTCCTTTCCCACCTGCGTAGCTTTTATTTGTTTTTCTTACCTTTTTGCACTGGTTCGTACCGCCAATACAATGTTTAATACAGGTGATGGCAGACATTGTTGCCTTATTTACTAAGAGAGGGTTGTTTTAGTTGTTGTTTTAATTTTTTTTATTTTTTGGTTTGTTCTTTTGTCAAGATAGAATTTCCCTGAGTAGCCCTGGTTGTCCTGGAACTCGCTCTGTAGACCAGGCTGGGCTCAAACTCACAGAAATCTGCCTGCCTCTGCCTCCTGAGTGCTGAGATCAAAGGTGTGCACCACCGCCCAGCCAATACCTTGAATTTTTTTAAATAGAAGATATAATTACATTAGATTAAAATAATTAATGGCCTCTGGCCTCTTTTCTTAAATTGTTGTGATATATATGTGTATATATATAAACACATATACATATATAGACATACACGTATATGTACATAAATGCAAATACAATCTGTTCAGTCCATATATTGTTTCTTGTACATATATGTCGTCACCACTTGGTATTGGGTTATCGAGTTATGGACTGGCAAACACATTCCTGCAGAAGGCTCTTTTCTGCTGATCTCCGCATTCTTTAGTTGCCTGTAATTCTATGTTGGGGTGGGGGTGGGGGAGTTGTGGCCCCATGAGAGAACTTAACAAATGAAACACTTCCCCAAATCTTTAAGGTTTACAGTAGGAAAATTTAGCTTCCTTTTAAAGGAATTCTCAGCCAACAGATTAAAAGGAGACATCATAATCAATAGCCCTGGGGTGCAAAGACTCATTCGGGATTATTGAGGAGCCACACACTAACTAGACACACTTGGTAGATACCGAGGGCTGGCTGCAGGTGAAGGAGTCTTGTGGGTAGTTTATAATTCTGGCACTGTCGGGCCTGGTCTAGGAGATGGGTGCTGGGAAGCAGATGGGTGCTGGGAGTCATAACCTTCAGCAGTGAGACCTTGCCTGGGGGTTTGGAGGAACCTAACAGGTTTGGGATGAATAGATTCACACCTAGCACAGGGCGCCTGCTACTTCAGTCTGGAGGGATGGAAGTAGAACAGTCTGGCTCTGGAAAGCTTAGCACTGTGAGAGAGGAGTCCAGCCATGGGCACACATCGGGCTTCAACACTCACTGAAACCCAAGCCCTCTGTTTTCAGTTGCTTGTATACCTCCTCAGGTGAAAAACAAACCAACAACAGCAACAAAAAAGATGAAAACCTGTTTCTTGCTGTTTGTTTTCATTTTAAAGTTAAGAACAATGTGTGTTCAAAGCTAGCCTGGCCTAGAGCAAGTTCTAGGACAGCCAAGGCTACACAGGAAAACCCTATCTCAAAACAATCAAACAACCCAACCAATCCAAAGAAAAGAATGTGTGTTTGCAAAGTAGTCCAGAAAACTGGCATCCACTTGGTCCAGCTAGGTCACAGCACCGTTGTTCTCGGATTTGAATTCATCGTCACGGTAGACTAACGCTTGGGTAGTACGTTCTCCCTTCCTAGTTTTCTCATTCCAGATCAGGGCATGAAGGTCGCTGTTGTGGAGAGTCCCCGGAGCTGTCCTGCCAGTTAGTAAGCACACGGTAGCAATGGGATGGTACAGATGCCAGCCACATCACTGAGGATGAATGGGGTTTTGATTCTTCCTAAGGTTGACTCGGTGAATCAGGCTGTTCACTGGAGGAAATCGTTAACCACATGTTCATTTTGCTATGAACTGACTTGAGCATTCCTCTCTGTGGAGCCATATTGTCTTCTGTTGCCATAGCAGTGGTATTTATCGTTTCCTCTATCAGGCTACCTGAATTTGAAGGCGGTCATGATCTTTCACAAGTAGTTCAGCTCCCCCTTTGTTTTCTGCGGACCCTCTTTTATATGGCTCCATGTCTTTCAGACTGATTCCATGCAGTTCTCCTTTGCTGTTACTGCCATTGAGTTTGCTTTGGCTGTGTAACTCTTGTGTATAATCTTGCAACATATGTCTAGGTGGCTGCAGAGGATACGTCCGCGATGGATTAAATGAAGGGGTACATGCACTGTTGCTGTCTGCCATTTTATCATTTACTCCTTTAAGTGTTGCCAAAACCTGTTTAATTTCAATGCCATTGTCTCGAACACTCGGTCTTGGCTTGATCTGTTTACCAGGGGTATTGTGTTGGAAATCTAACTGTCTTGTCTTCCAGTTCAGGAACTGCTGTCACATGAGCTGTGTGGAGCTTGCTGATGGACTCTAGTCTCAGCTCTAGCTCATTTCCCAGCTTTTGAGCTTCTCCGCCGTGGTCTCCCCAGCAATCGTTGCTTCCTGGTGCCCTCTTCGTTGCTCAGTGTCAGTGGGGACCAGTTTAATTATCTTCTTACTGTGATTTAAGCCAGAAAAACGATCACATATTTGCTGTGTAGCTGCCATTTCCGTTCCTCTTTAATAAATGCAGGCTTCCATCTGAAGGACTTCCTTTAACATTTATTATGTTAAAGATTTGCTGTCAAAATGCCTTTCCAGGATCTGAGTGTGAAATGTTAGTTTGTCTTCCTTTCTGAAAGGCATTGTCAGTGGTTATGCAATCCTGGGTCGAGACAATATGGCTTGTTTTAAGTAATTTCAAGTGCGAGCCACCATCTTCACTCATGTTTTCTCCCATCTTTCCCTTGTGCTCTTCCCATCCCTTATCCCGGTTATTGCGGGAAAGACCCCCTCTTCGGCCTGACATGAAGATGCGTTCCTATCGTTGCTTGTGAAGAGTTTTATTACGCTGTGTCCTTATGTTTATTTGCTGAACGTTGTTTGAATTCTTTGCATATTTGTTTCATTCTCTTCAAACTATTGGGAACCTTTCAGACTGAGTTCTTCAGGTGTTCTTCCCTGACTCTCTTCCTCACCCACCCCTTTCCCCAGGCACACCTTGGGTACTGTAGTTAACTGGATAGGCTGCTGGGAGATAGCCCACAGGGTAATGCTGGTTTGCACGTGTATATTTACATGATCCTCTTTCTGTTTCATTTTGAGTAGTTTGTAATCTTCTGTCTCCATGGTGTACTGATCATCTTTTTATTTCTTTTTGGGTATTATATTTTGTTCAGTATTTTTGTGAGTGTACAAATGGTTAGTCCTCCATGGAGATTCTCATTTGATTTTTTTCCTTGTTCATACTCTTGCCCCTTTACTATTGTCATCTTGACTCTGTTCTTTTTATATTACATCTATTGTATGCAGTCTTTTCTTAATTATTTTTATCTTCTTTTGCCACATGTGATCTGCTGTTATTTTCAAGCAATGAATTAGAAGCAATGGACTTCTGGCATTGTTGCTTTCACCTCTGAAGTTCGCTTTGGTTGTTTATATTGTCTATATTGGTAGTTATTTTTATTCTACTTGATGTAGAATATAGTTGTGGTACCTTGTTTAGTGTTTTGGCTAATTCTAATGCTTGTGCCAGTCCTAAGTCTGTTTTAGCTATTTGACTTCTCTCCTCATTTTATATATTTATATATTTCTTCTCATGCCTTTAATATATTTTCTTTTTCTTCTTTTGTCTTCCTCTCACTTGCTCTCTTCTCCGTTTTGAAGCTTACCGTGTTGAGGATTGGATATTTTTGATACTTTTACAAATAGTTCTGGGCACTTCTGGAATGTAGTTAAGTTCCTTGAGAACAGTCTCATTCTCCTTATTTGCTTGGTAGAAATGTGTTAGCCAGGACAGGGACAGTTACCAGCCCAGGATTAATTATTCCCTTTTACTGCTGCAAAAACCTGCTTGACCCTTGAATGTTTGGAACAGGCACTATTTTTGACCCTGCATGAAACTCAAATACTTGTTTTAAGATGTCTCTATTGCTCCCCATCCCTTAGATGGTTTTTCGTGTGTGTGTGTGTGTGTGTGTGTGTGTGTGTGTGTGTGTGTGTACCTAATGCTTTGGCCAGCAACTCAAAGGGTACCCCTGTAGCCCTTCAAAATTTGCTCATTATCCCCTTCAGGTACTTATGTATGCCTCCTTCCTCCCTTGCTCACTCACTCTTTCTTTTATCTTTGAGCCTCTGTCTTGAAAATCCACCAATTAAACATCATCAGACTCTCAGCTTTCTTGCTTAGCTCAAATAGTCCACGGAATTCCACTTTGCACCAGAAGCTGGAAGTGTTTTTTGGACTGTAAGATAGGACCACTATAATGCTTATCTACCCTTATCCTGCCCATGTCCCTGAGATCACTGCCCTTAGTTCTTTGATGTCCAGTGTCATGTAACTGAGACTTCATGTATTTTGTCCATTTGTGACTATTTTATTTTTTAAAGAATAAAAAATTAGTATGTATGTGTTTGCTTACATGTATGCATGTGCACCACATGCATACCTAGTGTCTACAAAGACTAGAAAGGACATTGGGGAGCCGGGATCTGAAACTGTAATTGGAGTTACGATGGTTGTCAGCTGTCGTGGTGTACTGACAACCCTTCCCAGGTCCTTTGCAAGAGCGACAAGTGCTCTTAACTATGGAGAATTTTCGGCTGATGCAAATGCAATAGCTAAACGTGGTCCCTGTTATTCAGCTTAGCCATAAATAGAGTCTCCTGAGGTCACTCCTCTGTAATTAGTCAATACAGCTAAGCAGATGACTTTGAGGAGTGACCAAGCTTGACAACCTCAAAAAATAAAACCACAAAAAAGCACAACAAATATCTTCACTCTGCATAGACAAACAATTGATATATTGGAAGGAAGTATTCTTCATTGACTTCTTTAATAATCTAAAACTAGAAACTTTCCTTCTGGTTGCTGTAACCGTCTGTCTAGCTAAAAGCCCTGGTATCCTGGTATCTGGCATAATTTCCTTCCTTCCTTCCTTCCTTCCTTCCTTCCTTCCTTCCTTCCTTCCTTCCTTCTTTCTTTCTATCTTTCTTTCTTTCTTTCTTTCTTTCTTTCTTTCTTTCTTTCTTTCTTTCTTTCTGTGTGTTTTGGTTTTTTAAAATAACATTTCTCTGTGTAGTCCTAGCTGTCCTGGAATTAGCTCTTGTAGACCAGGCTAACCTCGAACTCACAGAAATCTGCCTGCCTCTGCCTCCTGAGTGCTGGGATTAAAGGTGTGCACCTCCACCACCTGGCATATTTTTCAATTCAATGTTAAGGTTTCAGGAAAAGCTACTGGTCAGTCTCCACTGACCCCTCCATTCATCACATGTAATTACTGGACCAAGCCCACCAATCTTTGAGGAAGGTAACATTGATTATGCAAATACGGACTGAGGCTACAGAATGAACGAATGGCACCAGGGCCTCAATTCTCACCAGAGGCAGAGACAGCAAGGAAATCTTCGGGTTCCCTGGGGAGTCCGTATATTTCAGCAGAAGGAATGTAGCACTTAGCAGCTGGCCTGACATGGGTAAACTGTAGCCTGAGTCCTGGAAACCAGCGTCCCCTGTAATTTTTCCCAGGCAGACACTGCTGCAAACGCTGTTCCTACCCTGCGGGCTCTGATTTGAGACGAAAGCCCCGCAGTTTGTCTAGCTGGCTCACTACTCTCTCCATCCTCCTTCTGCAATTCTGCCTAGATAAGATTTCTTTTGCTTTTTTTTTTTTTTGCTGTTACTGATGTTGTGCATTAAAGGGGGTACCCTTAAGACAGTGTTAAAATTTTCATATTGTCTCAGATTCCAGAGACTCCACCAGTGAAGAAGTGGCTTTTTCAGGTTCCATGAGGAGCATATTAGACTAATTTGTAAGTGAAGAAGTGGAGACCATGGTCAATTACACAGCTAAAAGCTTGTTTTGAGAGGTAAAGAGAGTGAAGGAGGGCTAAGGGCCCTGAATGTGCAAGCCGCTATTCTGTAGCTGCATACTAGACTGCTGCCAAGGAAAACAAAACCATCCTTAACTGGGCACTTCAGGCACTGTGCTATAAATCTGCTACAGTGGTGAGCAAACCCAACCCCTGTGTCCAAAAGACTCACCGATGCTCATCAGAGTAGCTGGGCCAGTTAAGTTTACCAAACAGAAATTAGCAGAACTTAGAGGAACTGAAGTGAGCATACCATATATATATATATATATACACACATACACACACACACATATACACATACACACACACACACACACACACACACTTCTCAATACACATACATTTGAGAAAAGTGAAGCATTTACTAGGTAAGGCTCAAAGCAAGCCTATGCTCATCACAAATAAGTCTAGATATGAGTAGATGAAGTAAGGGAAAATTAGAATCAAGGTCCATGGAAACATAAAAGATAGAGGGTCTTTTGAAGAGTGATTTTGTCTCCCATATGTGTTTTGCTTTACATTGGTTACCTTAAATTACCTCTGATCATGTGTCTGGAAAGTGGGAAACCAATTATCAGTGCTCTTGGCACTTAATTCAGGGACTTCCAAATGCACATAGAGTGACTTGGTGATGGAGGAGAGGATTGGGGCTCTTTTCTCTGGTCCTCATTCATTTCCCGACCGGTTTCTTCTCTATTCGCCATCCTGCCACCTCTCTGATCTTTTTTCTGTATGAATGTTGCTCTATGCATTCTTACCTTAAGGCCCTTGCACAGCGGTTTTCTTCTGCTAACCAGTCCTTCCCTAGTCTTAACACGGTGAATGTTGCTCTCCACATCACCCCGCCCTTCTTATTTTCAGTTAGTACTACCACCTTGTGTTCGTATCTATCTATCTCCACAGAAGTGTGAGCTCTTCGTAATGACATCTCTGCAGACCTGGCCCCCTCGCACCACACTAAGGACTTTGCATGTAATGTGTTTTAGCCTCTGCACAACTTTATGAGACTGGTTTGCTATGGATGCTTTTGCTCTACAGATGCTTCTGCTGCTGCTGAGGCAGTCTTAACTGAAATTGAGGTAGAAGTGGGATGGAGGACCATAGCTTCTTAGTAAGTGGTAGAAGGGCTCTGTCTCTAGAGTCTTGGCTCTTATGCACTCCTCATAGAGAGAAATAGAGGTGGCTACCAGGGCCCTTTAAGAAGTAGACAGTAAGGTAGTGTATACTTGTAGTGAAGGTCTTGAGACCCCTGCACATCGGGAGCATCCACTGGGACCCATATTAGCACAAACCACACCCAAGAGAGAGATCCTTTATTAAGCAGGGAGGAAAAGTTCAAGTGGCTGCCTTCTGACTCAGGCAGAAAACAGCAGCCAATGACCTTGCAGGTGTGATTCTAAAGAGGAGAAGAAGAGGAGGTCTGTGTTAAATAGGCTAGGATTGGTGGTAAAGGACATAGGGGACAGGGAGAAGGGGAGGAACAAGGGAAAGGGGGAATGGGCATTTGTTCCAGATGGAAAGAGGACTGTCTCTGGGTAGAGAGCAGGCAGACATGGTCCATAGGAAAATAAAGTCAAAGGGGGAAACCCCATGTTAGGATGAATTGTTTGATTTTAATTGGGCATGTTAATTAGGTGAGATAAGGGGCCTCTGATTGCTGGTCTTTGGTAGTCAGCCTTTGGAGGAGAAGTGGTCAAATAAGGGAACAGATCTTAAGGGCCAGCTTAAGGGATGTTGAAAGGCTGGAAAGGATTCCACTTCTGTGCTGGACCCTTTTGGGACTTTAAACTCCACCCCAGTCCCAGGAAAAGATGGAGGCTGCGGAAAAGCTGAAGGCTGACCCCCTGGTGCCCCAGCCCCCAGGACAAGCTAAAGGCTGGTGGACCCCTCTTTAAAGTAAGTATTAGTTAATGAAGAAACCTCAAGTTACATAAAGTTGCTGACTGTAGCCCATTCCCCCACTGGTAGTCATATAGAGAATGTTGGCCACCCAACTTCCCCTGTCAGCTGGGTAATATTTCAGACAGTCCCTGCAGTCAGCAAAGGGTCAGCAGATGTCTGGAGGATGTAACCGGGGGCTGTTGCTATCCCCCTTAGATACTAATAGCCTATCAGGAACTAACAGCTGAGCTTTACCTCACCTTTAGCCAATTGTGATGTAGGATAAGTAATTTTGTATTTTAAAACCGTAACTTTGTGATTGCTTTGTGGCTTTTGTCTTTATAAACCCCTTACAATAATAGATCCTTCTCCCT